AATCACAAATTCAGCATGGTCTAATTTAACTATCACTTCATTCCATGATAGTGTAGATTGCTGAAAATATAATAACGATTAATATTCAATCGATCCTGTACATAAATAATTTTTTAAATCATTACTGTTAATATTTCAACAATTAAAAATTTGCTAAATATGCTTACAATTTCTTTTAAAGCTTGAATAAACACTTCAACATTCCAAGTGATAGGAGGGACATTATCTGCAGACTTTTCTTTATTAGCGTCTTGCGTCGCTCCTGAATTACCCCAATATGATTGTAAACCTCCAGCGTCATCAAGATTACTACAAGTACGTGCCATATGACCTAGAACTCGTGCAGCACATGCTGGAGATATTTCTCGAGCACCTAGGCCAGCTAAGGCTGATCTACACTCTTCAACACTGCTAGTAAATCCATATCCTAATTCCATAATCAATTCTACTAGAGAATTTCCATCCTAAAAAATATAAATTATGAAATATGTTAAAATTTAATGTTCAATTTAATATAAGAGTTACGAAGCAACGAACATAATTAATTTGTACCATTTGATTGACAGCCATGTTTAATTCAATTTTGGCTTGCGGAGTTTCCCCGTTGTCTGGATACAAGAGTGGTGCTAGCACCACTGGTACCAGCTCACGGGGAAAATCGCGCCTTAAATTCTTGAGAAATTTTTCCTTTGCCTCTGATGAAAGGCCAAATTGATTGGCTGTGTATAAAGCTTGAGACAATATAAGGTGAAGAACTTCGGGTAACGAATCGTGTAATCCTTCCTCGTGATGCTTATTGCTCGTCTCAGAGTTGATATAATTTTTAATCAATTCAGGCAGCTGTTTTTGCACGTGCTCTAGGGCTAATGCACAAATTTCAGAATTCTCAGAATGCAGCAATGCAATCGCAAATGCAACTTCTTGTACCAGAGTTAAGCCAAGTACCTTTTTCAAACGTAAAAAAAACTTTGGCGATGGGTTCAAAGTCTGTAAAAGTGAAGTTAGCTAAAATTAATGCTTTTTATTATACATAATATTACAAAATAAAAGAACTGTATATATTAAAGAACTATATATATATATATATATATATATATATATATATATATATATTTATATGAACACTTGTAATGATGACCTTAACCTAAATAAGAAGTAAAATAAAAAAAACCTTTTGCTGGTGAAATGGATGATCTATAGCAAAGCACAGATTAGAAATAAAAGAAGGTTTGCTAAGAAGATTAGTACACTCTTGCTTCAGAAGTTGCACTTGAAAATAATCTTTCGCTGTTGATTCCGGTGTTTCTCCTGTTGAAAAATCGATGCACGAGAGCAAAGAGCGCAGCAAGTGTCTGTCTGCCTCCAGACCCTTCCACAGCACCAACTACAATACAACAATGAATTTTAAAATAGGTTAAACTATTATTATATTAAATATCTATGTATATAAAAATAAATGTATAGGCCACAAGTTCTGTCATGTAACTAAATTTACAACAATAGAGGTATGAAAAAAGAAGATTGAGGAACATACAAAAATAACTAAGGGCAAAATGAAGCACATAAATATTTATTTGTTGGCTGCGTGACTACACTATTATGACTGATGACTGAAATGTGTACGCTAAAAAATTAAAAAGAGGTTCATCGTTCGAAATAATACGTTGGAACGGATACAAATCACGGAAAGAGGCTAAGTTCAAGGTGTATTTCATGCCGCGTGAGTGCTAAGTTACCAATAATTATGAAATAGGTGTGCAAGTTCCGGCATAAATTCGCGGCTAATTCTTATAATGGACAAGTTTTTCCTAATGAATGAACTCAAATGAAATCGGCAATAATGTTCACGAAGCATATTGCGCTGTTTCGAGGACGGCGTGTGATGAACAGAAAGTGGAAGGGGTGGGCATAAGAGATGCGGTAGTACAACAGGTTTTTTGTCTACTTACATCTGATATTTCTTGGCAGCTGTCCCGAAAATTTTTCTTATTTAAATTCGCAACCAAATAACTGATTTGTGACAAAGTAAAAGACAACGAGTCCAGGTTCATAGTTCCATGAATACGACCTCGAAAGCTTCAAACGTGTTTGAAGCTTTCTTCGGTATCCACGAATTGCCTCCCCGGAGTCTCTCCTCGAAGCATGAAGCATGAAAACTACATTGGCACAGTCCTGCGACCAACATCGGGATTAATATTTTAGAATACAATTTCAAACCAACGTCATGGCGAGCACAACAAGATAATACTGTAAACGTAACACCACTTCAAGATCACACCATACAATCAGTCACACTCTACTGGTCTCTTTTCCATCTACTTCGGGTAGACCACTACTTCTACACGACAGCCGGTTCGGTGTTTCTAGAATCGCCACTAGAGTGCGTTAGACATTCGTACTAAAATTTATCTTTAAAATAATGTTGCAAGTTACAAAAGTCGTATTTTATATTATTACACGTGTAATAATATTGTAATCGCAATTGGTATACATATTTTTATGGATTCAATTACATATAATATTTTCCCTCCATATTGATGGTATTAAAAACCGTGTACGATAAAGAGTAAAATTAGATTTGTTTAGATTTTGATTAAATTAATTCTGCTGACGGGCTGAGAAATCTGAACATTGCAGTACTTTCAGTCATATGAACTTACCAGAATGTATATATATTATTCTACAAAAATAATAAAACTTGTATGTATTTCATATAACATATGTATTTTAGTGCTAATCTGCACCAAATGAATACAGGAAATGAAAATTAATAAAAATATTTCATAGCGTATACACGCATAGAATATATTTTTATTCAGANAAGAACTGTATATATTAAAGAACTATATATATATATATATATATATATATATATATATATATATATTTATATGAACACTTGTAATGATGACCTTAACCTAAATAAGAAGTAAAATAAAAAAAACCTTTTGCTGGTGAAATGGATGATCTATAGCAAAGCACAGATTAGAAATAAAAGAAGGTTTGCTAAGAAGATTAGTACACTCTTGCTTCAGAAGTTGCACTTGAAAATAATCTTTCGCTGTTGATTCCGGTGTTTCTCCTGTTGAAAAATCGATGCACGAGAGCAAAGAGCGCAGCAAGTGTCTGTCTGCCTCCAGACCCTTCCACAGCACCAACTACAATACAACAATGAATTTTAAAATAGGTTAAACTATTATTATATTAAATATCTATGTATATAAAAATAAATGTATAGGCCACAAGTTCTGTCATGTAACTAAATTTACAACAATAGAGGTATGAAAAAAGAAGATTGAGGAACATACAAAAATAACTAAGGGCAAAATGAAGCACATAAATATTTATTTGTTGGCTGCGTGACTACACTATTATGACTGATGACTGAAATGTGTACGCTAAAAAATTAAAAAGAGGTTCATCGTTCGAAATAATACGTTGGAACGGATACAAATCACGGAAAGAGGCTAAGTTCAAGGTGTATTTCATGCCGCGTGAGTGCTAAGTTACCAATAATTATGAAATAGGTGTGCAAGTTCCGGCATAAATTCGCGGCTAATTCTTATAATGGACAAGTTTTTCCTAATGAATGAACTCAAATGAAATCGGCAATAATGTTCACGAAGCATATTGCGCTGTTTCGAGGACGGCGTGTGATGAACAGAAAGTGGAAGGGGTGGGCATAAGAGATGCGGTAGTACAACAGGTTTTTTGTCTACTTACATCTGATATTTCTTGGCAGCTGTCCCGAAAATTTTTCTTATTTAAATTCGCAACCAAATAACTGATTTGTGACAAAGTAAAAGACAACGAGTCCAGGTTCATAGTTCCATGAATACGACCTCGAAAGCTTCAAACGTGTTTGAAGCTTTCTTCGGTATCCACGAATTGCCTCCCCGGAGTCTCTCCTCGAAGCATGAAGCATGAAAACTACATTGGCACAGTCCTGCGACCAACATCGGGATTAATATTTTAGAATACAATTTCAAACCAACGTCATGGCGAGCACAACAAGATAATACTGTAAACGTAACACCACTTCAAGATCACACCATACAATCAGTCACACTCTACTGGTCTCTTTTCCATCTACTTCGGGTAGACCACTACTTCTACACGACAGCCGGTTCGGTGTTTCTAGAATCGCCACTAGAGTGCGTTAGACATTCGTACTAAAATTTATCTTTAAAATAATGTTGCAAGTTACAAAAGTCGTATTTTATATTATTACACGTGTAATAATATTGTAATCGCAATTGGTATACATATTTTTATGGATTCAATTACATATAATATTTTCCCTCCATATTGATGGTATTAAAAACCGTGTACGATAAAGAGTAAAATTAGATTTGTTTAGATTTTGATTAAATTAATTCTGCTGACGGGCTGAGAAATCTGAACATTGCAGTACTTTCAGTCATATGAACTTACCAGAATGTATATATATTATTCTACAAAAATAATAAAACTTGTATGTATTTCATATAACATATGTATTTTAGTGCTAATCTGCACCAAATGAATACAGGAAATGAAAATTAATAAAAATATTTCATAGCGTATACACGCATAGAATATATTTTTATTCAGACATTTTATAATATATTGTTGTCCAATCTTTTTTAAGTTTTTATTTTATTTAGATTAATAAATCTTATATTGAACATGTAATAGAATTCTATCTCATTCTAAAATACGCGTAACCTTAACAAGGAGTAGACATTGTTTCTTATTTGCAGGTGGTTCTGTAACTTGTTGTGATCAAAGATGAACAAAAACAAGAGTACATGTTATTAGATATGTCTTGAGATAATGAATACAAAAATAGGACGATGACTGGAACAAAAAGAGATCCAGTATTTTTCGTACGACACGCGCAATTCAGGTAATGCAACGCGACGCTAAAGAAGATAAAACAAATTTCTTTTCACCTTGATTGGCCGATGATAGTGCTGCCCTCACAGTCGAAGTTTGTTAGCTTTGGTTCTGCTTCTCTTTCTGATTCGCTTATTCTCTTTCTGATTAATTAATCTGGATAAATATGTTACGTATGTAAAAATAAAATGATAGGTAAAAATACAACGCAGTTACAGAAACTGTATGTAGACCACTTCAGGCCACTTACAATTACATTGACGAGGGACTTTTAACTTATACAGTAGGAATTTTCAGATGTATGTAACTCTTTCTAGGCATATTTTTATCAGCTTTCATTTTTAATTATTAATTCGAAATGGCAACATCTACATTAATACAAGAATCGTCTGAAAGAAAAAAGGTGAAGAAAAAACTGAGGTATGTGTTGTTTTTAACATTGCTTTATTAAGAATATGTTTTGTAACTTAAATATTAGAGAAACAGCTTTATGTTGAATCTTATGAGTTTATTTATTAAACTTTTTAATTAACTTTGCTTTTGTTTAAGCAAGGCACAGGTGCAGTTAGCGATAATTAAAAAAAAGAAATGTGATGCTAAGGCTCTTGCAATTGTTGAACTGCTCTTAGAACCTAACATTGATGATCAATGGCTTTTGCAGAATGTAAGTAATCAACATGAAATACTCACAGCATTAAAGTATTACATTAATATATACTTTCATAGTTAAGGTATATTAACAAGTGTCATATGGAAGACGTGATTGAAGAAAGGGCTGTCATTAAATTATGTGGTTATGTACTATGCTCGAATGCATTGGTAGTAGTCATTAATCAACAATACCATATTTCCACGAAACGAAATAAAGTCTATGATGTGACACGACGTAAAAACTTCTGTAGCTCGCGCTGTTATGGTGCATGTAATTATCTTTTGGAACAAATGCTGACAAGCCCTCTCTGGCTAAGAGATAAAGAAGAAATACCAAATTTTAAACTTTTGCCAGCTAAAGATGTTTTGCAGAGAAGTATTCCTGGAGATGAAATTCAGGTAATGGATACAACTGCAATAGTAAATCCTAAGAATGAAAATAATATAAATTGCAATGCAACGTGTACAAATTTGGAAGAAATCGAAATTAAAAAAGCTCTAACTAACAAGTGTTCAATAACTCAAGCAGATAATAAATCTGATATAATAGTTAATAATGACATAAACATTAACACCACAGAAATAAGTAGTAATAGTGAAATTTATGAAGATCAACTTTTGAGAGATTCTGTTGAAAATTGTGACGATACAGAAGGTGAATTATATAGTTTAAAAGATACAACTGATGATATAAAACAGTCTTCAACTGATATGGCTAAATCTGAACTTATTTTACAAAATGATATTACAATGAATAATATAAAAATTCAAAATAAAAATGAATCGCGTACGGACATTATTTATAAAAGTCAAACTGAGAATAATATTGAAGTTCAAAATGAACTAACAAACACATTAGTAACAACATGTAACACAGCTGCTGTTGAAGAAAACACACTTACTAAAGATACAAATGATTTAGAAAATGTAGAAAAGTATAGATCCAAGAAGCACAAACAGAAAGATCGTATTAAAGAGAAGCAAGTACATGAGTTTTATAATTTAGCAATGCACATTGAACAGAACATAAAAGAATGGATTAGTGAAGATACCATTACTTTACTATCAGGGGACGAAGAAATAAAAAATAAATTATTAGAGAATATAACCCAGCATGACAAATATCTACACTTGTGTAAAAAATTAAGTAAATTGCAACTGGAAGATGAAAAAGAGGATGAAGATTTAATGAAAAATACTCTAAAACCTATGCCGCATTTGTCTATTCTTCAAGAAGAAGGGAAGAAAATGGAATTAAAAGTAAGTGTAATATAATCAATTATTTAATATAAATTAATAGGAAAAGTATTAATTTTAGGTAAAAGCATATCTCAAAGGAGATATGGTTATAGAAACACCTGAACAAACTAACGAAAGTATAGAACAGAATGATGATTTTACTGCTGTTTTGCCATTAACAGATGCACATGATCCTAAAGCGCTTCGACGTCGAATCTTTTTGGATAAACTTTATAGAATGTAAAATCTTTATGGTTTACCATATTATATAAATTTTTACGTTTTTTACATTACTAATACCTTTTTCCTTACAGATTACCAGATTTGTTACGAGCATTAGTTGGTAGTAGAATCTCACAATACGTTTACATTAATGAAAAAAGTGGTTTGGTTAAAGCATTAGTCAACACTTTTTCATTATCAGCCAAAAATATTATTTTTAAAACTGCCGAATGGACACTTGTAGGTCTTATCATTATAAAAATGTAAGTATTTAAAACACATTATTATAAATTATATATTATTTATTTTTTAATATATTTTCAGGTTGAGCATGATAGATCCACAATTACAAAATTTACTATTAACTAGACAGGCGTCGATGTACATTTCAATGATCTTAATGTCATATAAACTGGATTCCAATTATCTAGACAGATTAGTAATGGAGCTAACCAATGTTACAAAAGTAATTGATGCAGATGATATCAAAACCTGTTAATCTCCTTAAAATTATTTACATCATTAGCATTTTAACGTGTGTAACGCTTACTTTAGGAGTTTTCGAATGGTATTATTACTGTACAATTAATATAACCGTTTTTATATTTACCGAATAATGGAAGTAAAATGAAAATAGAAAATACATATTTTCATGTTATTTTTTACAGTCGTATGAAAATATAAAATTTGTATTACGTTTGAATTCGTGATTTTCGTATGATGAAACATGTACAGAGTAGATTATATTCTGCTTTGTAAGACAAATTATTAGACCGGGTTTATCAATGTTCTATGTATTAAACCTTGAATTCTGCGATTTTTACAATGAAGATGGTGTGGGGACACCAGTGAGAGGTGAAGGTGGGCAATCAAGTCCTAATGTATCTATTTGTGGAGTCGTTGCTAATTGATCCTCTGTAGAACGGCTTCCAATTTTTTCACGTAAAGCCTCATAGAGATTATGTACAGCTTCATTATGCTTAAAGAATAAAAACAATAGAATGAGAGTATATATTTAACATTTACGATATAATGAGAGTATATACATATAATATGTATACGTAATACTCTTATAATATTTCTAAAAAGAGTATAAAGATACCTGACTAGTTGGTTGAAGTGCTTTCATTAATGTGTGTAATCGTGTTGGTGGCAATTTTGGATAAATATACCAAAGCAATTTTAGTAAATGTCGTGTAACATTATCTCTTGCAAGACCTGCTAGGAAAAATTCGTCAAATATAACTGTACAGAATGACTCATTTGAAAATTCATCAGCCATGTTTAGTATTAGCAATGACACCTGTGAAACCATATGAAATATTTTACCATCATATTTGATTACAATTGTAATACATGAAACATATTTCAAAAGTATATGATTTTAAATTTTACTTTACCAATGTATGTAAAAATGGATCTTCAAATGCACGTTGTGCTTGACAATTTGGTAAAGTAGCTAAAACTCTCATTAATCCTCTAGCATCGCCCCTTGCTCTTCCAACACCACCACCTCCTCCTACATGTAATGCGTAATACATTGATAAAACTGCAGCAACTCCTGAAAGTTGTGCATATGCTTGACAAGCATCAGGTGGTGGACCAGAATGTTCTATAATAGCAATTGCACTTTCTCTCTCATCAGGTGGAAGTTTACAGTTCAGTTGTCTTATTTGATCATCTACCTGAAAAGTAAATTATTTATTCGTTGATTATGCTGCAAGTATTCAAAATATTTATTATATTTATTAATATTATAATTAAATATATTAATATTTATTATATAAACATTACTTTACCATTAAAGACATAAGTGCTGGTAGGAACTTTGTAACAACTTGACTATCCAACTTTGGCTCTTTGAAATCTTGTGAATCAATCATTTGCCAGGCCGACAAACCCAATGCAAGCATTCTTAGCAGCAAAACAAGGACTGCATTTTCTCGTGGCAACGCTTCGCCATTTATTAAATGTAGTGCAATTTTAATAGCGCTGCTGGCAAGGAAGTTTACTGCATATGGATCACATAAGGTCATACTTAAGTCACCTAATACTTGTTCTTGTCCTCTCTATAGGAAATTATACATTATTTAATTTTTCTACTTTAAGAAGTAGTATTGTCAGATATAAACAATCTATTTTATACCTTAATACTATCCAGAAATCCTTGTAATTCACGGGATCTTTTAACATCAACATTCTTTTCTCTGATACATGCATCCAGGCACCAAGTAAATTTATGACATGGATCAACAGATATAATGTCTTGGACCTAAATATTTATTCGATAATGTAATATTTATTTTATATAACTTAATCTAATCTTTATAATATACTGACCTCTAAATCATGTAAAGCCATCAATAATTCTGCTCTTAAAGTACAATAATGTATATTCTTTGTACGTAAAAATAATGTCCTCAAAAATTGTAATACCATATCATATAGTTTTACACTATGTCCAATCATATGGGCTAATTTTTGTACAACTTCACCTTGTCGTCTTACCTAGTTACACAAAACATATAATTTTATAATGATTAAAACTTTTGTATTATTTAACTGTCTTTTCAAACAAATTTCAACTTTTCCTTTAACATTTTACTTTTAATAAAAAATCCAAATATGTATTGAATAGTGTTATTTGTAATATACCTTGGGAGAAGGTGTGAAGAAAAGACTATTTAAATTTCTATGGTCAAATAAAATTTGTTCCTTTTCAATAATATATCTACTGAACAATGGAGAAACCTCATCTCCAAACAAACTCTGATTGTCTTTCCAGATTTGTCGTTTAACTTCTGTATCTGCGTCATTGTATAATTCCTTTTCTCTAACAAGTACTCGTAAATATTTATCTTCTATGTGCGGTGTATTCCTTAAAATACACATAACAACAGGCCTCAATGCTGATACTCTTACAGCTGGAAAACTTTTGGACAATAATTCTTTTAGCCTTCTATCTCCCGATGAACCTTTATCTGCTCTTTCTGTGCCTATTTCATTGATTCTTTTTATCAGTTTTTCTCTTAATTCTTCAAGAACTGATGCATGAAAATCTAGTCTTCTTACACCATGAAGATCGAGTAAAGGTAACATGGGCCGCAATGACGGTAATAAAATACCATTTTCTAACTGAAATTCTTCTATTGCTTTTAATGGATCTGTACAACTTGTTAATGCATCTCTTAAGAAAACTTGTCCCGGTATACCGAGATCTTCCAAACCGCTTCCACTTTCACAATTATTTTTTACAGTATTCATTCTGATCTTGAATATGCTATTTTTTCATGAATGCTTTTCGTATTTATTATACGTGTTTACAAGATTGCTGATTATACGAAAGCCATAACTTATTTCACAATATTAAGTATATTCGTCAAACATTTCTCATCTTAAATTTGCGTTTATAGAATAATATTTATTAAAGGTAAGCTTTATGCTTTGTTTTGATCACTTTGTACCACTACTTTATGTCGTTCGAAATTATCGGAATTTCTTCATATTCGAATGCTACAATGAATTTATCAGTAGAAAATTTATATACACATATATAAACACACACCACAGAAATATAGTTTATAAAGATTGTAAATAACAACTAATTTCTTCGTTCGTATAACAATATTACATATTTTGTAAGTGCAATGCCACGCTCTGTTCGTAGACGCTCAGTAAAGTAGAAAAATGGCGGTGCACACTATACACGTTGTCCTTCTCTCTTTGTGAAGTGTTTTTGTATATATGTATATGTACGCGTAGGCACGCTCTATGGGGTTATACATGTATATGTATGTATATGTGGTTATATATGTGCCTGCATCTGTATATGTATATATGTGTACATATATGTATGTATAGATAATACGAATACAGCATCAGATGAATATATGCGATGTATGAAGATTAAAATTATACGGAAACTGTGTCTTAACCGCAATTATTTTGAATATGATACAAACAAAAGTGTAAATAAGACATATTCGAATTAACTACAAATTCGTAAAGCGAATGAACGAATATAGACAAGGATAAAACCTAATCGACATAGTTTTTTCATAAAAAAAAATAGCATCACAGGTTACATTTTCATTGACAATGGCACAATCAACAGCCAGTGGAACGTCTTCCCGACGATATATGAGAGAACATGATGTTAGTGTACCATCCTCTTCACGGTATGTGGATAGTGAATGGGAAACCAAAGAGGTGATTGTTTACTATTCTTTGCTTCTGACATTTAACTTTTCAAATCTTGTTCCTGTTAATACATATAAAATATATATTACACTTTACATACATAGCGGTCTTTTTTACCTTTTTTTTCACTTTTTTAATACTATGAACCAGCGATTTACATTTACTTTGGAATATAATAATTGAATGATTTGTACAAAAATTATACCTGATCTTAATTTGTTCACTAGATTAATCGTTTCAGGCTTTACGACAAAGAGAACTTGAAGAAGCACGTGCACGAGCAGCTCAAATGGAAAAAACGATGAGATGGTGGTCTGATTGTACTGCAAACTGGCGCGAGAAGTGGAGTAAAGTACGCAATGAACGGAATGTGGCAAGGGAAGAAGCAAAAATGCTTAGAGCAAAATTAGAAATTGCTGTGAAAGATGCAAATAGTTATAAACACGAATGTCAGGAACTTGAGCTACAAAATGAACAACTGAAAAAGGAAATGGAAAAGATACATATGATATTATTGAAACATGCAGGACAATTTGATCAACAAATTTTTACAGTTTTAGAATCAGATCCACAATTAAGGAACACGCTAGGTATAGAGGAACTTTTAAAGTTTTACAATAATGTAGAACAGAGTGAAAGTGTAAATTCTCAAAAGGATTTACTTACATGTAAAACTTCATTAGAAGAATCTAATATATGCCTAGGAAGTCATAACATTTTACCAGATAGAGACATTGAAGAATATGTATTGCAAGGAGCAGTACCAAAGCATGCTGTAGAATTATATAAAGAAGGTTCTATAAATTCATTGGACAAAGATATTGCAAGATTAGTTGCAGATTCTAGTTCACTGGAAAGTAATGTAGAGAAGCATCAGACTTCTTTACAAAATGATGAAGCCTCTGCACAAAAAATACTAATGCTTCAGTATAAACTAGATGAAGCAACAAAGACCATTTCTACCGAGAGAGAGTGAGTTCTTGTAATGATATAATCTGAATTATATTTCTAAATTATATTGTGTGTAATTATTTTTATATTTTATTAGGGAAAAAAATTCTTTACATCGTGGTATGGAAAAATTAAAGGCAGAAATAATACAATTACGTAAACAATGTGATGATTTAGAAGAAAGTAAAGCTAAAGCTATGAGAGATCTACTTGAATTGAAAGATCGGTTTCATATTGAACTTGGTGATATGCAAGCTAATTTAATTGATGATTCTTCAAGTAGGGACAGTATGAATCGTCGTTTGTCCGAGCTTAGAACTGAAGTATGTTTTATTATGCAAATACATCATAATAACAATAATTACATCAATTAATATGTAATTTTAGTTGGAGAAGCTTCAAGCTGAAAATGCCGCAGAATGGGGAAAACGAGAACGTTTAGAAACAGAGAAAATTTCTTTGGAACGAGAAAATAAACAACTTCGTAATGAATTACATGATTTACAAGAAAGATTAGACTCTCGACGGTCACGTCCAGTTTCCACATCTGATAGTGATACGAGACAGTTGCAACAAGAACTTTTAGTTAGAAATACGGTTTGTATTTATAACTAAGATCGTAGTTTATTTCAATTGACTGTCATAAATTTATTGATTAAATGAAAAAATTGTTAGATACTAAAAAAATCTTTGGAGGAAAAAACAACTGAACTTTCACACGCAATGAGAAGATCAGAACAATATGAAGCAGAAGTGAAACGAGTCAGAGCAAGAGTAGAAGAATTGAAGAAGGAATTAGCTATAGCTCAGGATGAAGTAGATGCTGCAACTAATAATGTTCGGAAATTGCAACGTGTAAATGAAGATTTATTGGAGCAACTAGAATCTGCTAATGTACAACTAGAACATTTTCTCAACAGGTGAATTATAAAAATAATTATTACTTTTTTTGCAATATTATATATAAATATTCTTTCTAAATATTATGTAAAATAGATTATAAAATATTTACTAATATCTAATTTGTTATTAGTACTGATTCCTATACGGTAGATATAGAAGAAAATATTGAAGAGAAATTATGTGCAACAAATGATGGCAAATTAATAGATGGTATGTTTTAATATTTTAATATATGTAATAATTGAGTAAGTCATAGTAACCCTTCATGAATGTTTCAGAGTACGGACCTCCACAAGCCTAGTATTCACTGATTACAATAACGACATTATATTTTATCTGAGTTACAAATATGCGGGTTGATAAACTGGGAAGTGCT